GACCAATTATAGAGTCAACTCTTCTGTAAGTCAACTCCAACAACGGTCTCTTACAATCTGTCTCTTATTCTCTCTCTCTCTCTTTTTTCTCTCCAGATAACACAGACAGCCCCACAACGTCTGCAAGAATGTGTGCGTATGTGTACAATTTGAGCAGCACCGCACATCTGCTGTTTTTGACCTGCAATATGCGTTTCCCAGTCCACAGCTGTTGACTTGAGACTGAGAAGATCTGTTCCTTCGATTGCTTTCAAGGGATGCCAAGGTTGCTGCAGTGGTTGGCTTAAAATAATGCGTTTCCCAGGGCTGGGAACGCTCTGCCTTCCCAGCTGTTTGTCCTATTCATTCCCGTCCCCCAGTGTTGCATCTCAAGCCAAGTCCCTGAGCAACTTAGATCCTGCGCAGAAGGACTGCCAAAGAGAAATTCACAGGGGTGTCAGATTAGACATGCACAATGGCAGTTGGGCTACAGGCGGTGGAACGGTGTTTCTCAGCCTCAGCCGCTTTTAAGATGTGTGGACTTCGACTCCCAGAATTCCCCAGTGCCACACGAGGGGCTGGGGAAGTCTGGGAACTGAAGTCAGAGTAACAGAGTTGGAAGATCTATTAGTCCAGCCCCCTGCTCAAACAGGAGATCCTCTACCATTTCAGACAAATGGCTGTCCGGTCTCTTGTTAAAAACCTCCAGGGATGGAGCACCTGCAACTTCTGGTGGCAAGCTGTTCCACTAGTTAATTGTCCTCACTATTAGAAAGTTTCTCCTTAGTTCCAGGTTGCTTCTCTCTTAGATTAATTTCCATCCATTGTCTGTCTTTGTAGGTTAAGATGTATTCTATTCTGTTCTGTTCTGTTCTGTTCTGTTCTGTTCTATATTCTATTTTATTCTAATTTATTCTATTCTATTTCTATTATTCCTATTCCAATTATTCCTACTCCACTCTATTCTGTATGTATATGTGTATGAATTTATCAAATTTCTATACTTTCAATGAGGAAGCTGAAGCTGGGTTATGGTTTAATATCCTTGTGTTTTTTGTCTGTGGTGGTTTTGTTCTGCTGTGATATTATTGATGTTATAAATGATCTTAAGTCATTGGAAGGAAGGTGGTGCAGACACGATCATATACATAAATAAACTCTTAACAGTGGCTAGGAAGTCTAAGAAGAAACTTCTGGTGGCAAGCTGTTCCACTGGTTAATTGTCCTCACTGTTAGGAACTTTCTCCTTAAATCCAGATTTCTTCTCTCTTTGTTTAGTTTCCATTGTTTCTTGCCTTGTCTTCTGGTGCTTTGGAGAATAATTTGACTCCCTCTTCTTTGTGGCAGTCCCTCAAATATTGGAAGACTGCTATCATGTCTCCCCTGGTCCTTCTTTTCATTAAATAGACATACTCAATTCCTACAACCGCTCTTTGTGTGTCCACACATCTTAAAGTTGTTGAGAAACACTGCAGTATGTCTTAAACTATAAGGAAGTCCCCAAGACTTTGTGCATAAAATCTTATTCTCCAAATCCTTTCATCAACAGGAGCAAATTCCCACGGCTTTTCTTCATATTTGGTGACCTTTCTAAAGGAAGCAAGGATGCGGCGGCTCGGTGGCTAAGGCGCTGAGCTTGTTGATCTAAAGGTTGGCAGTTCAGCTGTTCGAATCCCTAGTGCCACATAACGGGGTGAGCTCCCGTGACTTGTCCCAGCTTCTGCCAACCTAGCAGTTCGAAAGCAGGTAAAAAATGCAAAGTAGGAAAAATAGGGACCGCCTTTGGTGGGAAGGGAACAGCGTTCCGTGCGCCTTTGGCGTTGAGTCATGCCGGCCACATGACCACAGAGACGTCTTCGGACAGCGCTGGCTCTTCGGCTTTGAAACGGAGATGAGCAGCGCCCCCCTAGAGTCAGGAACGATTAGCACATCTGTGCAACGGGAACCTTTGCATTTACCTTTTACTAAAGGTAGCAAATAAGCACCCTTTCTCTTGGGCTTGTGCCTGTGTGGTTGTTGCCTAATTGACTCTGATTTTGCTATGTGTGATGAGGGCAGCAAAGAGAGAGAGGGCACCATCATAATTTGGAGAAAATCTGACGGATCAACACCATAATTTTGGAAGCATAAAAACCTCCAGATGTGGCCAGATGACAACAGATCAGTGATGACATTCAACCGGTTCTAGCCGGCATGAGCAAACTGGTAGCAGCGGCTGTGGGCTGCCCACCCACCCGGATGTCATCACGTCCCATTTTTGACAATCTGCATATGCGTGGAAGCACGCGCGCACTCACATTTGCGAACCGGTAGTGAAGATGAGTGACTACCACCCCTGCAACAGATCACGGTCTATTCTTATAACGACGACGTCTTATGAAGCAGGTTATACCGAGGGATGAATACAATGTACTGGAAACGTGAAAGTTAAGTTCTCCTTAGCTGAAGTCTAACACTTCAGTCAGGTCACCATATCGACACTCCAGGAGCTTCAGAACTCATTCGAAGTCCCTGCCCTAAATAAATAAGTAAATGTGCCTTTGAGACAGGGATGGCTCCTGACAACTGCCTGGATTAACAGCCTGCCTAGTCTGCTTGATCTCAAAAACCCGAGAACAGTCAAACCTGGTTAAAGCTTGGATGGGTGACCACCAGATAGCCTCAGAGCTTTAGACTTGGACGTAGGAGATCTTGCAGGAAAGGTGGCCACAGCTAAATCATGTCTGTACTCTGGCCAAGAAAACGTAAGAGGTGTTCATGAGGTCAGTTGGGGTTAAGGTCAATTTGAGATTGTATGTTGTTAGTCTAGATCAGGGGTGTTAAACTCAAGGCCCAAGGGCCGGATCCTGCCCGCGGGGTGCTTAGAACTGGCCCGCGAGGCCACCGTGGAAAAAGCAAAGGACTGGTCCATGGTGCCTCTGCCACTGAAAACGGAGCTGGGGAGGGCCGCACATAGCCCTCCCGAGCTCCGTTTTCTCTGGCAGAGGGTTGCAGGAGGCTATTGCAGCCGAAAACGGAGCTCAGGAGGGTCGCGGGCACCCCTCCCGAGCTCTGTTTTCCCTGGCAGAGGGTTGCAGGAGGCCACTGCAGCCAAAAATGGAGCTCGGGAGCCCATTTAGCTGGCAGAGCTCTCTGGCCGCCACAGGCGCCCCCGACATGAGTGATGTTGAACTGGCCACGCCCACCATGACCACGCCCCCCCCCAGCCCCAGACCCCGGGGTCAAACACAACCCTGATGCGGTGGCCCTCAATGAAATCAACTTTGACACCCATGGTCTACATCACGTAGTGTTTTCTACTGAGAGTGGATCTGGAGCTCAGGGGTTCTTTCTTTAGTCCAGTCCCTACCGGGGTGGGGTGGGGATGTTAGTCCAAATTGTGGAGAATTTTTAGCTACGCCTGGGCAGAAAAATAAGAGGGAGTCTATTTCCTGGAGATGATGGAGTGTAAAAGCTATCCTTAGATCCATCTCCCATACGGCAGCTTGCCTTTCCTTGATGTCGCACCTGCTGCTTATCTCTTTCTAACTCCCTTTCTACCTTCGCTTGCTCGTCTCCTAAAAACGCAGCTTAGAACTACCGATACTTTTGAGACGGAGTTATGGAATAATTGTCACTCAAGGAATAGCTTTTGTCAACCGAGTACGGTTGACAAAGAATTTGCGCAGCCCCAAACTTCTGCGAAGGCAGAAATCATTCTCGATCGGGGGGAAAGAGAACAACAAAAGGCCTGTACAAAACTGGAAGGGAAGGGGGGATTTGTCAACAGCGGCTCTCTCGGCGCCGTTGAAAAGGGACTTGGCACCTTCAACAGGAATGGTTTTGTCTCTGTGTAAAAAAAATGACTGGTATGATAGCAGAAACAAATGAGATCTTTTTCAAGCCTGAAAGGCATTTAATGTGATCGGTCAGGTCATAAATTCCTGGGCTGAATGCTCTTTATTTTATTTCTGTTGCTCTCTGCTTTGGGAATGGAGGGAGCGAGGAGGAGGAGGAGGAGGAGAAGAAGGGAAGACAAATGAATTTTTCAAGATAATGTAATGAGCACAACAGTAAACGTTTAATACTACATGCAAGTTGGTGCAGGATCAGATGCAGTGCAGCTTAACCCTATTCCTTCCTGAGAATGGCTGTACTTCAGGCTGTACTTCCTGAGAATGCTCAGGAAGATAAATCTATCTCAGCATCTCCTTCTGTCCTACTATCGCAGCGCCATTGAGAGTGTCCTGACATACGGCATTCTTGCATGGAATGGGAGCAGCTCTGTAGCGGACAAAAAAAACTCTACAGAGAATCATTAAAACTGCCCAGAATAACATTCTCCAGCTACCAGCCCTGGACGACATCTTCGAATCTCACTGTTTGAGAAAGTTGCATATCCTTCTCAGAGACTCTTCCCATCCTGCTTTCAATCTTTTTGGACTGTTGCCTTCTGGCAGAAGATACAGAACAATTAAAACTCGGACCGCACGTTTTCTGAATAGTTTTTATTATCCCAGAGCTATAATGGCACTCAACCATGAACTAAAGGGCCACCATCAGTGAGCTGTTGGACAGCTTTAGTTGGTCTGTTGTGTGGATGTTTGGGTGGCTCAGGGGTGGGGAATTTGTGGTGGGTGGGAGTGTGTTTGGGGATTGTTATGTGTGTTGGACCTGGTCTTTGGGTGTTAAGTGAATTTCGTTGAATGGGTATACTGTATATTCACGTACAATGACAATAAACTTATTTATTTATTTTATTATTTATTTATCTACCCATTCTATTAGGTCAAACAGGATGGGCTCACTCCTATTCCCTTCCCCTCATGTGCAGAGAAGGGCAACTAAGGTGATTAAAGGCCTGGAGACTAAAACATATGAAGAATAGTTGCAGGGACAAGTGGTGGCTAATCTAGAGAAAAGAAGAATTAGGGGATTAGCAAAGCTGGCTGGGGAATTCTGGAAGTTGAAGTCCTCCAGGCTTAAAGTTGACAAAGTTGACCCCTGCTCCATAAAATTCCCTCTGCCTCCCTCGTTCTTACCTCGTGGTCAAGAGCAGAGAGCGTCTTCTGCTGGTTTTGGGTTGGCTCCTTGTGAAGCCTCTGGGTCTTCTGTAGGGCCTGCTTTAAGCAGGAAGGCCTCATGAGGGGCAGGAGTTCGCAAAGCTGCTGCAGCTGTGGAGAAAAGAGGGGCTTATAGATGCAACTACCACAAGCACACACAAACAAGCAACACAAGGTTCATGGAGACTAGAGCTCTTCAAATTATCCAGGGGGAGGAGGTCCCAAAATCTCCTTTGACCACCTCTCTGCCACTAAAACACGAACAATTGTTTCCTAAATGTCAGTAACCTCTTAGAGAGAGAGAGCTGATTTCCTCTGCGCATGCTCCAAGATGGCAGCCTCCAGCTGATCCTCCGTTGCCGGAGGGGGTAATTCTCGGCATTTTCGGGGGTTTGCAAGGGCCAAGTTTCTTCTCTTTGGCCCGGCTAAAGGTTACCGGTTACCACCTTTAGAGCGCTCCATGGCTTAGGACCGGGGTATCTACGAGACCGCCTTCTGCCACCAGTGGCCTCTCACCGACCAGTACGCTCCCATAGAGAGGGGCTCCTCAGGGTGCCGTCGGCCAAACAATTTAATTTAATAAATTTAATTTATTATTATTATTATTATTATTATTATTATTATTATTATATTATTATTATTATTATTATTATTTAGGATCTGCTTACAACCGAATAATGTGGGGTGGACCTCAATGTGTAGCATTGACTACAGATTCAAAGTCTAACATTGAATTAGATAATGCATGGTGACCAGAGGTGGAATTCAACAATTTTAGCAACCGTTTTTCTGCCTGGTTGCTGGGTAGGTGTGGCCATGGTGGGCGTGGCCTTCTTGGCCTCCTGCTACCATGGCGGGGGAGGGGACGTTTTCACCCTCCCCAGGCTCCGGAGGCTTTTTTGGAGCCTCCAGGAGGGCAAAAAACAGCCTCCTCCAGGCTGCGGAGGCTGGAAATGGACCCATTTCTGGACTTCCGGGAGGCCCGTCTTTCGCCCTCGCAGAGCCCTGCACTTACCTGGCATCCAAAATGGGCTGCGTGGAGACTCCAGGGAGGGGAGGGGAGGGGCGGGAGGGGCCAGCCAGTCCTTGCAACTTCCGGTTCAGTGAACCAGATGTAAAATTAGCATCCGTTTCGCCTGAACCGATCCGAACCGGCTGAATCCCACCCCTGACTGTGACCCACAATGTGAAGCCTTCTCGTTTAGCTGTCCCAAGTCCTGGATGCCTTTTAATAAAATCTGTTAGCTGGACAACTTAATATTCTTGTATTTCACAGCACTGTTAATATTCATGTAGTTCATGCTCCTCTGATGAAGTGAATGCAGCTTGCAAAAAAAATAATAATGTTGTACCCTTTAATAAAGCTTGTTTGTGGGAAATGATCCTACTAGACCTTTCCGGATTTTTTGGCCACCATAGAGTAAAACTGCACACCTACAATGTCTATAATAAACAGAAAAATAGGTCTGAAAGAGATGCTTAGGTCAAATGTCCTCTTCCTGATATATATTAGTTTGCTGTCTGCAAGAGCCGGGTGGGCATCGATGGTCCCTTTACAACCTGTGGACTTCAACTCCCAGAGTTCCCATCACCCATCTTCTTCCACTTATGACTGTATGACTCTAACCTTGTTGCTGGTATCCTTAAGATTTATATTGACTGTTTCCTAGTATGATTTGATTGCTTATTTATACCCTGTGACTTTCATTAAGTGTTGTACCTTATGATTCTTGATGAACGTATCTTTTCTTTTATGTACACTGAGAGCGTCTGCCCTAAGACAAATTCCTTGTGTGTCCAATCACACTTGGCCAATAAAGAATTCTATTCTATTCTATTCTATTCTATTATGTCTGTCCTGTCCTGTCCTGTCCTGTCCTGTCCTGTCCTGTCCTGTCTGTCCTGTCCTGTCCTATCCCTGTTCTAATCCTATCCTATCCTATCCTATCCTATCCTATCCCTGTTCTAATTCTCTCCTCTCCTCTCCTCTCTTCCTCTCTCCTCTCCTCCCCTCCCCTCCTCTCCCTGTTCTAATTCTATTCTATTCTATTCTATTCTATCTATTCTATTCTATTCTATTCTATTCTATTCTATTCTATTCTATTCTATTCTATTCTATAGTGCTACTGCTATCTGAAGGGACATATCTCAGAAGCTGAGTTCGCATTCATGGTGGTACCTCAAGGCAAGAGTGAAGAACAGATAGAAGGGAAGTATAGCTGAGTCAAAGGAAAGGAGTGATGAATTGTGAATAAAGGCAGTTAGAATTCTTTTGGTCTTTTTTTTGCTGAGGATGGGTTAAACAGCATTGAAAATGACAAGGAAGGAAGGAAGAGAAGATGAAGTTGGACAGTCTTCTGAGGAAGTATTCCATAAGTGGACTTTTAAGTCCAGCATTCCTTCCAAAGAGAGTAGCAAAATTCAACCATGATCGTCCCATTTTCCTGCATTCCTCAAACACTTCCAAACAGTCTGAGCCAGGGGTGAAATGTAAAATTTGTTACTACCAGTTCTGTGGGGGTGGCTTTGTGGGGGTGGTGGTAATGTGACGGGTGGGTGTGGCCAACTTTTTTTTTTTTTTAACCTTTTAAAGGCATTTTTTTTCCCCCTACAACCTCTTCGGCTGAAGAGGTTGTAGAAAAATGCTTTTAAAAGGCTCTGACGATCCCAGCTGAGCCGCGCAATCATCAGAGGCTTTTTGATGATCGCGCGGCTCAGCTGGGCATGGAGGGGGGCAGGGATTTTTGCTACCGGTTCTCCGAACCACCCGCCACCATCGCTACCGGATCGGGCGATCCGGTCTGAACCGGGAGCATTTCAGCCCTGGTCTGAGCCCTCCAAGCTGAGCACGGAAGAAGACAGGCGAGAGACGTGGACACCTTAAGTCTTCCAGTTAAAAAAACAGAGCAGGAAAATGATTGTTCCAAACGATGTGTGAGCCGAGCGGTCTGTTCAAGTTGTGGCTTGCAAGCTAGTCACCTCTTGGCTCTCTTCTTGCTGTGTCTACCCGTTTGTTTGCATTTATACAAAGCCCCGTGAGTGACTCAGGCTGCCTGTCTGACAACCGGGCTCCCCTGGTCTTGTTGTCAAACAGAGTTCAGCAACGTTCGGCAGAAAACGCTGAGATTTCATGCTCCAGGAGAAGATAAAAGAGGCTGCAGATTACAAGACGCACAAACTCATCCACGCCATCTTTTGTGGGGAAGCAGCAACTCAATTTGCGACTGAAGCAAGGGCACGGCGAACTCTGCTGGCCTACCAGTGAGTTGGATAAGCAGAGGAGGGGACACCCATTCCTGCTGCGGCTGAATGGCCAGCCGCATGTCCCATTTTTGGCCTCCTAGGCCTCTAGAAGGCGGGTGGGGGCCGGCGGGTAGATGGGGCGATGTGGTTGGAGCAGCCCTCATGGTCCCTTGCGGCCCGGATTAATGTCTTCAGTGGGCCGTAGTTTGAGGACCCTTGTTCTAGAGCCTCAACACAGGAAGGCGTTTGTTGCTCTTCTCTCCACCCTTTCTAGAGCCTCAACATCAGTGTCTCAAAATCAGTGTCAATTCTTTGCGACCACACAGGGACCTTCCCCAGGCGGATCTGTCCTTCAGGCTTTCCATGGGTGGACCCACCACCCCTGTGACTGAGTCCATCCCTCTTGCTGCTCCTCCTCCTCTTCCTTCCAACTGGCATCAGGGCCTTCTCCAGAGAGCTGCTTTTTTGCATACCATAATAAGTCCAAAAGAGGATAATTTGAGCTTTGTCATTTGTGCCTCGAGCGAGGACGCTGGCTTGCTTTGTTTGATGATGCACTGGTTTGTTTTCTTGGCCGCTTCCAATATTCTCAGTGGTATTTTCCAATACCAAAGATTTATGAATGTACTGTATGAAAAGAAATTCCCCATTTGGTGCTTTATTAATTTTAAAAAACAAAAGCGTTCTTTGCAATGGCATATTGATTTGAAAATTAGAAAGAGGGGCTTTGCTCCTTCAGACTTGCGGATACATTTCTGTCCTCTTCCGGACTCAGCTATGAGTAAGAAAGGTGTATTTTGAGCACATGTAGCTTGGGGCAGGCAGGTGGGAGAAGTAGCATTAATCTAGAAACAGTTGTTCTACTTCTCTGCGAAATGGCTCTTCACCCATGGTGTCTGCTTTTGTATCAGCTCAGCTCCTGTTTCCGATAAAAGACTTCAAAAGACAGGACTGCAGTGTTTTCCTTGCAACTGGGTGGGAATTCCTTTCCTTGTCCTGCTTTTTGCATTTCCCTTCTGTAGTAGCCAAGTCCCTGGAAGACCAGGTTTGAGGCAGAACATCCTGGAGAAGGTTGGTCTACGTCAGCACTCTCCAAACTTGGCAACCTTAAGTCTTATAGACTTCAACTCCCAGAGGTCCAGGTTTGGGGCAGATCACCCTGGAGAAGGTTGGTCTACGTCAGGGGTCTCCAGACTTGGCAACTTTAAGACTTGTGGACTTCAACTCCCAGAATTTCCTAGCGAGCTGGAGAAACATTCAGATTCCATTACTATCCACTACTATTGTTTTGGAAACTTGAGAAAAGTGAAACTTATATTGGAGTGAAAAGCCCGGAAACTTTAGTACTGGCTTTTCACCAGTAGCACCAACATGATGTATCTAAATAAATTTGTTCTTTGAGGAAAAGCAATGCCTCGGAGTTCAGTTGGATGCATTATTTGGAGCCTGACATTAACTCAGATTTGCAAGATTCCATTACTGTCACGTAACCTTATAATAAAAGTAGCATTCGTTTGCGCGTCTTTCCAAGTTTGGTCTACCTTGAATGGCTGACAGGTAGCTATTCGGGGAAGGGAACTGTAGGGAGCACAGTAGCGTGGCAGGCCAAAACCGTTGGTGACGACTGGAGAAGTGATACCACTGACTGTGTGGAAGACCCTTTATTGTCTTCTAAAGACAGAAAAAATATGTCCCCACGACTACATGCCACTCACATTAGATCCCTCCCCCCCAAGCTCATACGGTACACAGATGATGCCTGAGAGTAAAGCATGTGGTTTGTGGTTTTGCTACTAGGGAAAGAGCTCAGCATTGCTGGAGTGATGAACCAGCCAAGCTGGAGCCAGTCCCAGAATTCCCCTTCCTCA